TTGTCTATATCATTTTATATTTTTGTGATTTTTATGTTTTAACAGATTTTTTAAATTTGATTAATTTTAACTATTATTATAATTTCCAACGATTATCACTCCCTTTTGAGTATCTTCCCTAAATGAATGTTTGACTAACAAATTTCGTCGTGAGAGTTTATTTTATTTTGTCTATTTTGTACACTAAGAGTACCCCACGAAATTAATGTTACATCGTTTGCGTGTGTACACACCGCCAATTAAATAGGAAAATAAGTTTGATAAATGACGTCATTAGTTGATTAAAATTAATCGAGTGATAACGAGTTCGGACCGTGACCACCTGAAAGCCCATCGAGCTCATTAATTTAGACATGTTAATGAATTACCGTCTAAGTGGCAAACGCCGCCGTCTTGGAAAACGGAGTTTGCACCTTGATAAAATTCAAAATTATTAAAACTTTAAATCCTTCAAAGCCAACATTTCCGCGCTACTAAAAACAGTAATTAGCTTATTCGTCATACAAAGCTTTCGGGAAAATCTACGAAAGCTCTTAATAATCCATTAGACTAATTTTTCATGCTTTTGCTCACGGCTGCTGACGCGTCCTTTTATTTTGATTTGGGCCGCGTAGAGGATGACATTGCGGTTTATTCGTAACGTTCGCCGCACGCTATATCCAGGTGATGAATATGATAGAAACATTTGTAGGAAGGATTTTAAGATAATAATAATAATAGAGTTATATGTCCTACAGACTTTTAAATCCAATTATAGCATAAAGATAGCATTATAATAGGTAGTGTACATACATGTGAAATAAATCTAATTAAAAAAAAAATAAGAAAATTCACCTATATTAAACAATTATTAAGACAGAAAGAGAGAAAAAAATAAGAAAAAAACTAACGTAAGTGAATCCGATATAAAGTTATAAAGATGCAAAAAACAGAAAGAAAACACGAATTAAATTAAACTATTCATCCCTTATACAGGGTGACAATTTGAAAACTTACCACCCCCCATATCTTAGTAAATAAACGAGATATTTAAAAAAAATCAAAATCCGTTTCGGTAATTCGGATGGGGAATCACAATGACATAGTTGGCGACGCACCCCCTCCAACCCAGCCACCCTAACTTTTAAATCTTAAATAGTGACCCCCCATGTGTGATACGTCGTTGGAAAGCTATGAAAAAATGCTTTCCAACCATACCAAATAGCATTACATTTAGGTTAGTAGTTATCGTGCAAATCAAAAAATAAACATGGAAAATCGTATTTAACTTGAACTTCCAAAGCCGACTCGACAGCAACTCATTTTTGATCGCCAGTTATAATCTATTCTCAAACTCTTGTCGAACCTTTTCAAATGTTGGTTTTGCAATATTTCGACATTCTTGAATTATTCTCTGTCTTAGTTCGTCTATGTTCGCCGGTTGCGTTTTAAATACGACAGATTTCAAATGTATCATATTAGTTTATTTTTTGATTTGCACGATAATTACTAACCTAAATGTAATGCTATTTGGTATGGTTGGAAAGCATTTTTTCAGACCTTTCCAACGACGTATCACACATGGGTGGTCACTATTTAAGATTTAAAAGTTGGGGTGGCTGGGGCGCAGGGGGTTGGAGGGGGTGCGTCGCCAACTATGTCATTGTGATTCCCCCTCCGAATTACCGAAACGGATTTTGATTTTTTTAAATATCTCGTTTATTTAATAAGATATGGGGGTGGTAAGTTTTCAAATTGTCACCCTGTATAACTAAGAATGCATTTCAATCTACAAAAATGTATGTCATAGCCTACACATCTTAAATTAAAGTTGTTGCACATAACATGAATAGGTGCACGCTGCAAGATGTTACTGTGCGACATATCGTTATAAAATGTGTGATGTTTTCTAGTCCGGTGTAGAGTACATGGAAGTGAACTGATGATAATAAATATGAGCAATTTACATTATTGTGTAAGAGTTTATAAACAAAAGCAACACTACTTTTACATCTTCTTGTTTCAAGCGACTCTACAACGATTGAGCAAATTGTTATGGTCGGTTCCTCTAACAGGGTATACTCCATCTACCTTAAAAGCCATATATTTAAGCGTCCTTCTTTGTATCGACTCTAATTTTGTGATCTGATAATGATATGTTGGGTACCATATTAAGGAGCAATATTCCAGTTTACTGCGTATGAGATGAAAAAATAATTTTCGAATTGGTGTTATATTAGTGAACGACTTACACATGTGCCAACGTTTTCAGTGACGAATTGTATAATTCATCTATATGCTTCTTAAAAACTAATTTATCATTAAAATATACTCCAAGATCTTTTATGTCTGTACAGTGATTTAAAATAACGTAATTAACGTGGTATCTAAATATAACTGGTTCTATTTTACGCGTGTATGACATAACTTTGCATTTTGGCGTGCTTAATGATAAACGATTGCTGTCAGACTGTCACACCAATCTTTCAATACATTTAGTTGCTGTTGCAGAAACAAACAATCACTATTGGATTTGATTGACATATACATTTTCAAATCATCTGCGAACAAGAGGATATTACAATTCAAAGCAGAGGTAATGTCGTCCATAAATAATAGAAACAATAAAGGCCCAAGGTTAGAGCCTTGGGGCACTCCAAAGCTTGGAAAAATGGGATTTTCTGCTATAATGTTATAGATTCCAAAACATGCACGATGTAGGTAAATTTTACTGTATAATATGTAACCTCCGACTGTCTTTGGTTAGTCAAACTAGTGATTTTCGTCGTCGCCACCTGAACTCTAAGGTTTGAAAATTTTCATAAAGCATTGCAAAATGTGTCAACAATTACATTAATTTCCGTTTTCTATAAAGCCTACAGAGGTGTACCTATCTATTTTCGGTTAACCCGCAGAAATTCTAGGGGTGGGCGAGATGTAACAAAACAGTTTCCTGAACTGAATCCATTTATTTAAATTTTTTAGTTAAGCAATAAAGTGTTAACTGTACACTTTTATAGCTCATTGGTTCAATTTCCGCTAGATGGCTCCGTTTGTAGGAATTTAAAAAATAGGTCCTTGTTTTTGAGAAACTAAATCATGCCCGTGACTAAGTTTTGAATTGAGGCACAGGCTAAGACCTCTTGCATTGTCACACTATTTCTTTAGGTACTTTATCAAAGAAGTACAATTTTTTTCATTAAGTGATATGGGTGCTCAAAAATACTACAACTTTGAAAAAATAAAATGGAACCATGGCTTATAAATCAAAATGAAGAGTATTAAAACAACTTTCTTCCCACTAGAAAATAATTTCACAGATGTTCAATATGACCCCCTCCAGATACTCGAGCTATATCCATCAATGCGTGCACGATCGTCCCAAACCCTTTGTACATACACCCCTTCTCAACGAACGGTTTATGCCAACGTGTGATATACCACCTATCAGGAGGTTGAACACCATACTTCATTCGTACGTTGAAGAACTATCGTAACACAAAACGCTTTCTGTTTACCGGTGGCCGTCAGAGCTTCCAGGAATCGTGACAGAGTGTAATGTGTTCTCCTTTTTCTCATTGCTGTTTTCGATTTTGAAAGTTACAATATTCTTTTTGGATCGACCTGTACCTTCGCAACCTACCACAATCCCGTAGCAACATCAGTGTTGGGAGTGTTAGAATTACACTCAGACTGGACACCCTGTTGCGCAGTGTGACGAGCCTAGTGTTTATATTGCTATTTGCTGTGGGACTGCTGGAGTGACTTGAATTCCTGTCTGAAATCTCAAGGAAACGGAAAATGGGGGCAGTATAGGATCGCGTCTCACCTCCTTCTCCGAACAAGACGATCCCTCAATTAAAATCGAAGATACATCAGATTTTTCTCATCCCGAATTGAACGTTACCACTAACTCAATAATGCCGAGGCTGAATCTCACCACGACTTTCCATCTTTTGGACCAGCTTTTATTGGTTTTGTATGCCATTCTATGTTACCGAAGTGTGAAAAGCCGGATGTAGTGAGGGAATTTCAACTCAATTCTTTTTCGTCGACTGACTCAGAACATTTCGGTGTACTACCAACACACGAATAAGTAACAGAATTAGCTACGGAAACGCGAACTGATATTTGAGGGTTGGAAGTGGCTGAATTCTGGCCTCAACTGACAGCTGCTAAATCCCCTTTTTTTAAAGGTAAAATATTAATTACGAAGCTGCCGTAAGTTTCGCGCCCATCCAAACACTACAAATTTATCTAAATTACTCCAATTTATGTTCATGGACATGCGAAAATTAAAATATAAGTAAAATACAAAAGACGCAAGCAAAAACAGATAATTATTCCCTTCGGCTAAATTTAATATGCTATGCATTATCCACTCGCATATTTGGGCAGACCTCAATTCCAATTACAAATAATTGACGTTATCCGCACCCCTTTTCGCAAAGGTTATAACAAAGCAATGAACAAGATGCATTAATCTCGAGACAGTTTTAAGCCACACGCAAGTTTTGTGAATTATTATAAAAGCTACGTGTAAATTATTATGTATTCAATTCAATTAATCAGTTGTAAATGAAAAGAAATTACTTTGCATTACTGTGGAACATCATTATCTATTACCCGCAGTATTACACATTTTTGTTAACATCACTCCGCCATTTCTTACATTTCACATACCTCCCGGATTTTCCCGAAGACTATTTTACTACCGAACGAAGATCATTACCCTCTGATACCCGAACCGCCTGACTTCATGTTACGTTATTTATTTTATTTTATTAAGTATTAATTTTCTTTTCCTCGACAAGAGCACATGTGGATCACTGAAGGATATGGTAGATGTATTTTAGATGTTAGCTAACCAATTTTACTATCAATAAATAATATAAACCGCCTAGCAGTTTTTCTGAGTCTTACCCAAAAGTGATGATTGATGATCTTGCTTTAGTTGGGCGTTTCCAGTGTTTCATAAACTTACCTTAAAGTTTCTGATACTGTGAAGTAAAAGAAAATACGTTATTTTATATTTAATATAAAATTTATATCTCCATTTACAAAATCTTATAAAATATTAACAACATGAAAATTTGTATCGAACATTTACATTTAATTTTATTGTCAACAAATATGATTAAATAAGTAATGTTTAAAACATAATCAACAGAAATAGTAATAAAATTCTCTTTAACATAACGTATCAAACGACAAGGGAGGGGGGCCATGCAGTGCGAGATCAGTTCTTAACACGGGTCCATCTGGGAACAGTTTAGGTAAGTTAAAGTAGAACGCCATAATGACCTAAATTTACCTGTGTCCTTGACAGGATAGGGTCACTACCACTATCATTTATCGTTATTGGCTCATTTTGCATGGAGCAAGATACGTGTGGATGCACTACTTGACGTTGCTTCCTTTGTAAGGTTGATAACGTATATGGAGGGCTGAGAGGCTGCAAACACGGTAGTACTTGAGTAGAGGGTTCTCTTCCACCATACACAATCGCCTCCTGTCGGTATAACGCATTATTAGGCGCTGGTTTGTTGTATATGATATAAGGCACCCCTCGATTAGGTATAGAAAGCTGAGTGAACTGCTCTTCATTCTGGAAGGGATTCGTTACACGAATGTTAACTTAATTTGAACTACCTGATCCGACGTCCTATACTCATCATAGTGACTATTTTGCCCTACTATAACAACGGGCGCTTGAAATCTAGGATACGTACAAACAGGGCCGTTGTTAATTAATATATAACCCTGTTTATCGTCCTCAAAAAACTCCTCCGCGTTGTTATGGGGGATAATGTCTGGATTCTTTTCTTCTAAGCTTTCCATACTTCCATTCATTTCGCCGTTGGTCTCAATGTTGCCCTTATCCGCTCCATTGGTTGTACATTGCGTGACTGACAAGGATAAACCCTCGTCATCGTACGTCTTAAGTTCGCGTTCATTTCCGCAGTGTCGCAAGCGAATTACAATTATAACGGTAATTGCTATTAGCATGAGGGCTGCGACAATTCCAATTAAGGCGCCCAATAATGGACTTATGTGGAGTGGCACAGATGTAGAAGCGGCTGAAAAATTAAAGTGAAAATTTAATTTAAAAAAAGGAGAGGCAACTTACAAATGTGCTTCTCTGCCGATTTTAAGGTGGACGCAGGTAAATGTACGGTGGCGCTCTTTCCCTTTTTATTGGAAGCGTAGAGTTGAACATCAAAATCATTGCCAGATTCCAATCCTCCGACAACAAATATTGGACTTTTGGATGAGACACTGCTTACCAATTTATGCTGTTGAACGTTGTAGATTTCCATAATAAATTCTTGCTGCAAACCACCGTCAAATCCTTCAACGCATTCAACAAATATGGATTCTGTAGTCTGATTTTGAATGGAACAATTTGAAAGAGCGTCAGGTTTACCTATAAACATAAAACGATTCGAAAGAAAAATAGTATGAGGTAATTTATACTATTATACCAGCAGGATTTACGTAAAATACGCAGGGCTCTTTTTGCTCTCCTATTTCATTTCTTCCGCTACAGAGTAAAGTCCCGTAGTCGTATTCTGCCGCCGGTTTATACGATAATATACTACGCGAACGGTCAGACGTAACTAAATTTTGCGGAAGCTCCACAATTAGAGCATTGTTATCGGTGTTATTAAATTTCCAAACGAATTGAATATCTGTGGGATTCGCTTCTAGTTCGCAACGAATTTCCGCCACTTCCAGTCTGGCAATTCCATACGATTTCGTTTGTCCGAGTTTGCATACAGGTGCAACTAAGTAGAAGTTTCTAAAATTCCACCAGAGACAAAAGCCAAACTTACATTTAACGTCGAGCTGTACGGAATTACTTTCGCCATCGCCCTCCTGGTTGCTCCCAACACAAGTATAGTGTCCCGCTCTATTTCTCGTTACGCTTTGTAAAACCAAACTCTGGTTACTCACTATTGTCCCCGAGGTGGGATTGTTATGCAGAACCTTTCCCTAATAAATACCACGTTTGATACATAAATTTAAAGCAGCCTTCTACATAACTCACGTTATGCCTCCAACTAACCCTATATACCCAGGGATTGGATTTAATGTTGCATTCAAAATAAACGTCTACCCCTTCACGAATTGTACTTCCGTTTAAGTTACTTCCCAACTCCAACGTCACTAGTGGCACGTCTACAAATTTGCCACAATTCAAAATTGATTCGATTCCTAAACTGGAATAAACAACAAATAAAATCTTACGATGTATGTCCAATCTCCAACCGTCCTCAATTCCGCTATCGGCAATAAGTTGTTGCTGACCGCGGCACGATAAGTATTTTCCGGCATCTTCTATAGAAGGCACAAACGTCAATACGCTTGTCGTTGTATTACCATCCGGACTCGACTGAAATGTCATTCATGAATGTAGATAAAAGGATAACGAGACAACGCAAGTAATTACTAAAAAGGGTCACAAAAACAACGTACTGTTTCTCTAGTGTTAATCATTTGAATGCTTCCTTTCCACCATGTTATTGTAGGAGCAGGACGAGAACCAATAACCTCGCAACTTAACTCGTATGTATTTTCGGCGGAAAGAGGCCTGTTTTCACCCAGCAGTTTTACCCAAAGAGGTCGCACTGAAAAAAAATCATTCATCTTTTTTTTCCGTGATATAAAATGAAACATCGTCTATGTTAGCGCCAATCTGTCGGTAAAGCTGTATTTCTAGTATGCAAACGCAACTTTTGCCCTGCTCTATTAGTAGAGCAGTAGTTGTAGTCACGGTTTTGGAACCGACTGACTGCATATAAAGGTTACGTTATAATCGTTTGTGTCATTACTAAACCAAGATTTAATTTCGCCTTATCTGATATTTAACGAACTTTTCCATAAAAAGTCTTTCGAATTCGAGAACAGTAATAATTTTCTATCTAAACGTATTTACGTGAATGAGGAATTGTTGGGGGGTATTAAGGTTGTAATAATGCCGACAATAAGGGTATATCTTCTTGGGTTGGTAAAGAATGCGAGTAAGTAGCGTAATGTTCGGTTAAAGTTATGGAAGTGGCTAGCGGGACACCCTATATTTAACATTATTCAAAGTTTGATCAGGAAATCGTGTGGGATTTTGTTACAGGCACATAATTGACTATATTTAATTTTATTGGTATTTTTATGTTTTATGTTACGATTGACCCCAAATTCCAGATAACAACATGCATACTGGGCTACCGAGTTTGGAAAGTTTAATCCGGCAAATTAAGTAAGTGTAATTAACAATGAGTTGCAGTAGATCGCATCCGAATCAGTCGTTGGGTGGTATCATTAGAAGTGGGCTTAAAAACAATGTAACGATCACGATACTAGACTTAAGCATAACATTCGAACTAAGTACTGTAGGTTGTCAAAAACACAGGATGGTGTAGTCCATCAATCTCAACTTGTTTACAACAGCCTTCCTAGTAATATAAGATCTCTGCCCATTGGAGCTCTTAAGTCCCGCCTCAAAACATTGAGTTAATGAAAAACTGTTATGCGATGTAATATGTAAAATTGTACTCTGTTATCCTCCTTTGTTAGTTAGTCTCTGAATGTACCTTTGTATTTTGTTTGTAATATTTTTTGACGACCGGAAGTGTACCCACACGGATAACGGTATAATAAATATTATTATTATTAATTGAGCTAAATTTTAAGACCAATTACATTTTTTTATGTTTATCGCAGGCCGCAGAATTAAATAAAGAAGTTTTAATTTTTGGATGGAAACTATCGAATACGCTGTGTCGACTGGAAAACCCGCCGACCCCTCCATGAAATACGCCAATTTTATAAAAGGTAAAGGCGTTGTTTAGAGGGGATCTTTTTGCCTTTGGTGTTTAATAGGTAGTAAATTCACTTTTTGGCAATTTTTCACTGTACGTTTTGTTCCGTAAACTTTAAAGGTAAAGAGCATTTGCTATTTTTCTTCCGCCAATCATAAAGGGTGTATTTTTTACTATTCCTGCATTTAATTTTCCGTAGATACCGCTAATGAATTTATACTTTGTCGCTTCCGTTCCCGTTAGAGCAATCGTGTGCCGTAAATTATATTTTAGTTGCTTCCCTGTACGTAACCACCCGCCGAATTTTCAACTAAACCGTTTCTTCAACTGACCACCTGTGGCTACCGATTGAGATGAACCTCCGAGACCGTTCCGAAATCACCGACGTTGGCCAGAAGCAAGGCTTTAATCGTCTGGTGGCGCTCGAGTCCGTCCGTTCGTCCATGTACGGTGGAACTATGACAGTAGATCTCATTCTTCATTGCGCCTTACGTTCTACAGCTATATCAATGTATTTGAGGTGTTTTTCTGCATCGGTTTTAGTTAAGTTGTTAGTGTTGGCAGTATGACCATGTCTATTATGTAAATTGATTTTTGTGTTTTATAAGTGTAATGTGTGGTCTATTATTGCAAATGAGCAATGTTGTACCCCAAAATAATTTACTTATATGTGCGTGACTTTCAAATATTATCTGTGGAGTGCATTTGTAGTATGAAGTGTTATCTGCAATGTTACCAACCGTGGCAGAATTCCGCTACAGTAGCAGAATACACAAAAAATGTAGCCAATTCCTTTGTATAAGGCTAATCTAATAGCCGTTGTCAACTACAGAGAAATAGGTTCAACAATATAAATAATGTTCTTCTAAAAGTCTAAATTGGAGAAATTATTCACAAAAATAACGAAAAATACAAGTAAAAAAAGTCGTCTTACTTTCCAGTACCGATAAAAAGAGCCCCGGTTTCAACAAAATTTCAAAAATGACAGTATCGTGAATACAAAAGTATTTAGTTGATATTAAAGACACAAGATGAAATTAGTACGATTTTTCTTGGTTAAAATGCCAAAGCTAGCAACTTATTTAAAAAAAATCAGATACAAGTATCTCTAAAATTGAAGCCCTCTTTCAAAAAATTGCACTAGCAACCTGCCAAAACCAATTAGAAAAGGTTCATTTACCTCACCAGATTATTTTATCAAATTTATTACATACAGAAAATTATTAATTTTAAATGAGACGACTCAAAGCCAAAGTAAGATTATGTTTACATGCCACCCGTAATATACGTTTTTCTGCGAATATTTCCAAATATTGGCAATCGAAATATATAAATTAAGTGTCCAAAAATTGGAATTAGATTAAAGTGTAGCGAATTTCAGCTGAAGTTAGATTTTCGCGATTGGAAATCTGTAATCTTATTTCTTTCCTTCCTTTGATCAAACCTAAAAGGGAAAACTTTAGTCGGTGTGTAATGTCATTAAAATTTAAATAAAGAGGTATGGTCTCTGGAAATTCGTTTTCTTACTTTAAATTCATCGAAAAGGAACAATTGCCGTTGCCATTTTCCAGAAATTAAAGGATTTAATCGAAATTAGTTTTCTATTTTTTTTTAATTAAATTCATTATAGTTAAATTTTTCCTTGAAAGCTCGTTAGGAATTCAGCATGAGTGACTCTACTATGTCTATTTTACCCTCTCTTTCTTTCGCCTATCGTTCAATAACTATTCTTACACAACAGTTTGAGAGTTAAAATTTATAAGACAAAACGGAATAAATAGATTTGACCGTTTCGTTGACGACTAAATTTGTTATATCCCCGAAAAGGAAAAATGCGATTTATGTAACAAAATCTAGGTGATCATTGCAAGTAAGTCACGGATTATCTACCCTCTAATTTGCATTATGTTTGTGCAGCTAACCTCTTGATTTACTAATTACTAGTTGTTATCGCTTCTACTCATGACATATCACACTAATTACGGATTTTGCCTCTCGCCCCCGCCCTCAATTTGCATATGAAGTGAGTACATATACTCTGCAACGTGTCTGCAAACAGTAGCTTTCTAATCGATAATTTACACCGTAACTGTTTTGAGACGTAAAAGCTTCAAACATATAAAAGGGAACGTATCCAATCATGGAGAGGAGTTTTGAAATATAACACCATACGATGACTTCAATTAAATTGAATTCCACATGGTTTTCTTTTTCAAGCTAATATACCTTTGTATGAACAGAACCTGAAGCTTATATATAATTAACTTTATAATGAAACTCCATTTTACTTTTGGAACTTTATTGTCAACACGTCTCCCTTCTTACCGTGTTTTATCTTGGCTTTCGCATCCCGTTTTTATGGATGTAATTTAAGTTTCACGTTTTTTTCATTTATAAAGGTTGTGCCCCCAAACTATTAATCAGCAATTCAACATTTCGAGCGTATCGGCACTTATTGGAGCTCTGTAATGGAGCATGGAGTGTCTAAAGATAAGGATATACAAACCAATTCAGTTGGTGTAAGATTATTTGCTATTAACGTAGGAAACTAATTTAACTTAGCGTTGATAACCTGCCTAAGTATTACGTTACAAACCTAAGGACTTTTTGTGATCCCAGTGCAGTGCTACATTTAAGTTCTTATAAGACAAAGTAACCTTGCATAATTTAGTGTGAATCGCTTACCTACGTCAACGTAGAAACTCCTTGATCCCTTGTCAAGGTAAAAGCAGGCGATGCAAAATAAACCTCTAGAGTGATACCGATAATGGCACTCTCCGAAATTTTCCATTTCTAAATCAATCCAGAGTAGACAGGATAGCAAAAAGTTACAAATTGCTTTGAAATAAATACAGTTCCCTCGCGATAGTAAAAGCTTTTGCTAGATTTTGATTAGCGTAATTGCGATTATGATCTTCTTATCGCTGTGCTATTGACGTTGAGCACGAATGATTTCTGTAACATGAGCCCTAAATTAGTTTCGGAAAGTTTATGCATAAATCAAAGTAGAAAATAGCAGGAAGCAACCAGAGTTAGTGTAATGTAATAGCAATAGACCCCTAAAAGCCGGTGTGGATCATAAGGTTTCCCTTGCGTTAAACGACAAGTTCCAACTTCGTCAATTAATATCGAAACTCAACTACCGCAAAAACTGAATTAGTACATAATATGAACGCATTTGACAGTTATTGGCTTTGCATAATATTCACAATATAGCAAATTAATCATACTTCAACAGAGATCGAGTTTCAATTAAATTCTGCTATGACAACAAAAATTATTAATTTTGGGAAAACGCTTATTTATTTACCCCTATGCAATTAACTCCCGGTTATCGGTTACGTTCACGAGTGTTGACTTTTGTTCATTATTTAATAACGTCCTCATACATTAAATTATACGTATCTCATTAAAGTGGCTCTCAGTTTACACGTAAAAAAACGTGATGACAGCTTCAGCAGAAAAATTTGGATCTAAAAAACCTCATCCCCTAAAATGTATCAAAACAAATTGTCCGGTATAATTTTAAAATTGTAATAAATATGATCAATAAGTCTTTTTAATTAATTCTATTTTACTACGAAGTACGCTTGCAGTAAATAATTAATTGGTGACGCTTGTTTAAGGAGGGTTCTTATTAGTCTATTTTATTGATCAATAACATTGAGTCTGTTATTGAAATGATGTAGTCTAATGTGAACGTCCGTTCAACGATATTGCTCGACCATTTTTGGTTTCAAACAAAGTGAAAGACATTTCTACTTTTCGTATATCAATGGGAGTGATTCAATTTCACTGAACAGTTTTTGACC